GAAAGGGTACAGCGGTCTTCATACAAATAGTGAGAAAGCCCAGATTTGTCAGGGAAAGCTTTCTTAGGCTTTTGGCTGTGTCTGAAAAAAAAAAAGGAAAGAAAAAGCTACACTTTTTGAGTTAGAACTTGCAAAACTGGGCAGGAATAGCAGTGAAGATCAGTAAATGACTACATTAGGGGAGGGGGCTTCTGAGATAGATAAGTACATTATCTCGTTAAGGAGATGATTATCTTCTTAGCATATCTTCTTCAGCTTTCCCAAGAGGCCAGGTGGTTGACAGATCCAGCTTGAGTAACTCTTAAGGAAGGAAACAGTAATATGTAATGTTCTAATATTTGGGGCAGATCAGAATGTAAGGTTTCTACCCAGAGCCAGAGGTGTAACACAGATTCCATTCTTTTGACCATTAGAAAATGGCTTTTCCTTAATGGCCTCTACAAAGCTCTGTTGCTTCCACATTTTCATCCAATATTTTAGCACTTAAGGAAGGGCAGTTGTGATGGTTGCCTGTCTAGTGTTAGCATGAAACTCACAAAGGAGTCCACTCTCAGTGGCCTCCAAGCCCATTAATATATCTGTCTAGACATCTAACAGTATGTTATAATTGATGAACCAAGAGTGATGCATTATTATTACAAAGGTCTATGGATTATATTACCCTCTCACCTAATCAAGGTCTTCCTTATCATGGAGACCATAGTTGGGAGTAGAGGCTGCCAGTTGCTTAAGTGGAAGAGGCTGATTATTAACAGTCAAGAAGCCTGGACCTACCTTATCCCTGTTAGGCTACCCAAACTTGTTCTTATTCTTTCTTAGTTTTCCCAGGGTCTGCCTAGTTCCAGGTGTTTGGAAGAACAATTAAAATAAAGAAAATGAGGGGTCTGGAGATGTGGCTCAGTGGCTAAGAGCACTGGCTGCTCTTTCAGAGGACCTGAGTTAGGTTCCCATACCCACATGGCAGCTAACAACCATCCATAACTCCCGTTCCAGGGGATCTGATGCCTCCTTCTGATGTCCCCAGGCATTACACACATGTATGCAATAAACTCATACGCACACACACAAAAATAAATAAGGGCCAGAGAGACACTTTACTGATTAAGAGCACTGACTATTCTTGCAGAGGACCCGGGTTCAAGTCCCAGCACCCACATGGCAGCTAACAATTGTCCATAACTTCAGTTTGAGGGGAAGCTAATGCCTTCTTCTGATTCTGTGGGCATTGCATGACATGGGTGCACTTACATACATCCAGGCAATACACTCATACACATAAAAAATAAAAAAAGGAAATGAAACTATGTTAAACAGGATGATGATAAGGTGTTGTGACTTTTTCTCTTTTCACAGTAGCTTCAGGATAATATATGCAAATATATAAGTTGGTGACAATTCAAGAATATGGCTACATTTTTCATTTATTTAACTATATTCTGAAGGTCTCAAGGATTTTCCCATCAGACAGGCAGTAACCTACTGTGAACCAAAATTCCCAGAAAAAAAAGGTTGCATCTTCAAACTAAACTTCCTGCAAAGCTGGTTAACTGACTGGCACTTCAATGACTGATGAATTTGGAATGCTGCAGGGCCAGAGCCTATTTACAATTGGGCTATCTTTAGCCCTCCAAATAGCCATTCTTTGCCTACCTCTATGTCAGACCCAACATCCCATGACTAACAGATAAAATCCTTTTGAGATGTATTAGCTTAGCAGACCACTAGCTTCCACCAACTCAAGGACTAATGATGCTATCAGATAGCATCCAACGCCTATAGCAAAATTCTTCCCACTTCATTAAAACCTACTTTTCAATTTGGCTTGCTTCTGTCTCCTCCAATGTATTTGAAAACATCTTGATTTATGGCTTTCTTTGTTCTGTTACTATAAAACTTTATGAAACTGTTAACCACATTGGAACATTAAATTTGGGGTGACCTAAATCTGTGTTCCTGTGCTATAGTCACAGAATAAACGATCTCTTATCCCCTTGGAGGTGAGAGTTATGTTTCTGTGTGAACACTTCTCTTGTTTCTTGTGTTTAGCTACCTTGCTAGCTGGTTTATGTTCTGTTCCTTTTTGTCATGACCCAATTTACTGCTGTCCTCAGAGGACAAACATGAGTCAAACAGGAAGAGAGGAGGAGGAGGAGGAGGAGGAGGAGGAGGAGGAGGAGGCGGCAGCAGGAGAGGGGGAAAGGGCAATTCATCTACAAAGAAAGGAAAGCAAACAAACACTTATTCATGGACTTGGGTGTTCTGGGCCAGGCCCCGAAGAGGTTCCTTCAAGACCATCCCGGAAGATCTGTAAGGGAACTGGGACTAACACAGATAAGGAAATTGCTAAGGACTTTAAGCAGGAGCTGAAATTCAAGCTCAGTTCTGTCTGACCTGGTAGCTATTTTCTCAGAAGTGCTGCTGGCAGCCACAAACTTGGTCCCCATAAGTGGACAGAGTCTGGAGGCAAAATAGATGCTCACCTTAAAGTGCTTTTTCCTGGCCTTACTTTATAATTGAATCAAGTTGTTGAAGTCATCAATTTTTACATTTCATTTTCTGAACTGTGGTTATTTTTAAATTTTATGTGTATGAGTGTATTGCCTGCATGAGTGTGTAAGTGCACCCATGTTGTGCAATGCCCACAGAGGTCAGAAGAGTTCATTAGATCCCCTGGAACTGGAGTTATGGATGGTTTTGGCTGCCATGTGGGTGCTGGTAATTCAAGTCCTCTGTCCTCTGAGCAGCCAGTGCTCTTAACTGCTGAGCCCTCTCTCCAGCCCCCCCCCCCACCTTTTTAAAAAAAAATTTTTTTTTTCAAAGTCAGGGTCTTACTATGTAGCCCTGATGGCTGGCCTTGAACTTAAAGAGAGCTGCCTGCCTCTGCCTCCTGAGTGTTGGGATTGTTAGAAATAAAATCTGAGGTCCAAGGACCCCCTCAATACTGTACAACGAACACATGGACAGAGCAAAAGAAACTCAGTAAGGCAGAGTTTACTTTTGCAAGATGTCTTGTGTGGTTAGATCCAGCAAGCACACAGGACCTGGAAGCTTGATGGGATTTTATCCCTAATGCAAGGGGACTGCGTCTTTTCCATATTGCCTGGGGTCTGACTTCACAGTCTTGGCTGTGAAGGGAGGAGAGCTCCTCTGCCCCAGGCCATCAGGCTGAGGAATGCATCAAGGCCGTTCCTTAAACAAAAGTCTTACAGGGTGTGATGGGATTAAAAGATTAGAATTCCTTGTCATAAACTGAGTTCCAGGTTTTATAGGGTCTGAAAGAAAAGACTGTTTCTTATAAGATTAAAAGCGTGCTTAGCTTGTGGGATAGTTCTTAATACTCTGTTGCTTGAGAATGCTGCGGCTTAGAAGGGGAGGTGGGGACTTTCTTCAAATTGTACCTGTTTGAAATGAATATAAATGTGTTTAGATACTTGCTCACAAGCTTAGGACCTTAGGAAAGGTAAAATGATGTAGTGCAAAGTGAAGCTCTTCCTCTGCACCTCGCACTCATGCCCCCCAGGCAGCACTCTTCCAGGGGAGAGTTGTCTGATAACACACACAAAGACGTTGTTAGGGAAAGAGGAATTTACTGCTTGTTTGAATATACTGCTTGTTTAAATTTACTGCTTGTAACCAATTAACTAGAGACAGGCATCCGAAGATAGAGGCAAAGTGCTATAACCCCCAGAGCCTGACCTGTTCTGTGTCATGTCATGTCTGCTTACACAAGATAACAAGAAAGAGTTGTACCAGGCACATACCAAGCATCTCTTCCCAATTGAGACACCTGAAGGGAGCTATAACCTTTTTTTCTTGTTTTAAAGTTATTGGTTTGTGAAATGCTTGCTTTGAAACTATTGGCTGTATAAACGCGGGCTTTTGTGTAACGGTTGTGGAAGCCTATATAATCTTTACCTAAAATTGTCTCAGGGTCGATTGCTCTGACCAGACCTGCATGTCTTGGAAGGACGGTCGGCCCTAGCCAGCTGGTTTAGTAAAACTCTGTTTGATATTTGCATCTCCGTACTCTTACATTTGTTCTTCAGAAGAGACCCACGGAGTCACGGACCCTAACAATGTCAAGGGTTTAGGTGGTCCCTCTGAGGAAACTCAGCATTTCTTCCCTTGGAAAGGCAACACTACCCTCTCCTAGAGCAGAGCACTTACCAAATCCATGTGTGATTTGAGCACAAGCAGGAACCTCTCCTGGGCAATGGTTTTCAGGTTGGATCTGTGTTGGAGTAGGCTTTTCCCTCCTTCTTTGGAGACTACATGTTTAGTAACCATTTCTTTGTTGGACAACAGACTCGTGGGGAGAGTCTCTGGGCAAGGCTTCTCTCACATGTGAGGAATGACCTTTGCACCCCTTACTTACTGGGACTCAGCCTCTGCCATTCAATCACGACTAGGTGGACTGAGGCAGTCCTCCTTCCTACCTGAATTCAGCAGGCTGTTCTGGCCTGCACAGTATCATGCTCTTATTTTCTTGCCAGTAAATGTGGGAGGAGACTGAAGTTCTTCCTGACACTATCAAGAGTTGGAAAGTAAAAGGCTCAGGGAAGTCTTTAAACAGGAAAGGATTTCGGATTTGGTTGTGAAGATGAAACTGTGACACTTGGTATTTCCTCATCTGTTATCAATTCAGCTCTTAGGAACTGTTGTCACAACACAGAATGTGCTAAGGTTTCTCCAGCTTTGGAGAACAGACAGGATCCCCCCAGCCTGGCACCTGGCAAAATGAAAAGCAAAGCAGGTGAGCTCAGCACAGACATGGGATCCTCCCTTTTACACTACTCTGATCGGAGACGCACCCTCTGGTCAGCCGCCTTCATTACGCTGGGTGGATGGAGATGGATGTTCACGATGAAGATGCCTGAAGGCGGAGGTGTGGTGCCTTTCTTACCTTTTCTAGTTCTGTGAATCAGTTCTGCACAAACATGGAGAGTAGCAACATGGAGGAGGAAATAACCACAAAAAGTAACTGAAGACTACAAATGGGCCAAATTAGAGAGCTTTTATTTTTGTGGAGACTAACAGAAAAAGAATTCAGAGGCCAACTTTTGAGGGGCATTTTTATTATAAATTTAATATGGTTGATTAATGAAAAATCACAATGCAACACCGTGAAAATGTATGTCAATATAAAAATTTTAGCAGCATTGCCATGGTTTCAGGCTCTAACATTTTAGTCATATGGTCTCCCTCCCGCTGTCAGAAGAGAATCCAGTGGCTCTATAGGAGAGCATCTGATGTTCTGCATAATGAAGGCCTCAAAGAAATTCCCAAACCCAGTGTCCTTTCTAGTGTTTCTCTCCCAGCCCGGAGTTCTACGGTGTCAAAGCACACCAAAAGCCTCACGGGTATTAGTTAATGTTTGAGACAAGAATTTTACTTTTCAGGCTGCAGAGAGGAAAAGGGATGGATAGTGAAACTGGACTTGACATGTATGTAGTGTTTAATTACCATCCCTGTTTCTATACATTCTCCATGCTGGTGACAGTGAAAGGCCACTGAAGGGCTCACTAATGTTTGGTGTGTGGCAACAATGGTGCTGCTGGTGAGTGGGTGGCTGATGCCTCGAACACACACACTGCTCTGGTGAGTAAGAGCTTGCCTGGCTACATACCAGGCTCACTGTAGTGACCAATGAGAAGGGGAGACAGACAACAGGAAGATATAATACTGGCAATCTGTCCCCTGCTTCTTTGGTACTTTCCAAAATTCTCTGATCAAAAAAGTATAGGGAAGCATACCATTAAAAATTACAGTTTAAGTATTTACAAAAGCAATTGTGATATATTACACAGTAACTCATACATAGCTCATGAACACATTCTTCTGAAAAGCACTTGTGATCTGCCTCAGCATTATGCAATCACACATGGGCCCGAGAACCTGCCCAAGTTTACATTACGTATCCTGCATCTTACTTACTTTACAGTATATTAAAAGGAAAAAACACCATTTGGAAAAAAGAACTTCACCGTTTTGCACTTTCCTTTGAAAAAGTTCTTAACTTTTGCCATTGAATCATTATATACCATTTGCTAAGTATGAAACTCTAGGCAATAGTCTCCACTTCCATCTTGAGTATGTTTGAAAAAAATGCTACCTAGGTACACAATATATCTTTAATACAAGTAACTGCACCACATTATATCACCACAATATCAGTTAGATACATACTATTATCTACAGTAGTTAGGTTAGCTCTGGAAGTTGAACCTCTGTGGCCTGGGTAAGCAGTGTGGCAAGAAGCCATCTGGAAGGTATGTGGAGGGCTGGTGAGTTGCCTTCCTTCCTTCCTTCCTTCCTTCCTTCCTTCCTTCCTTCCTTCTCTTGTTTTTGGTGTGTGTGTTTGTGTGTGTGTGTGTGTGTGTGTGTGTGTGTGAGAGAGAGAGAGAGAGAGAGAGAGAAAGTGAGAGAGGTGAGTATGCACGCCTTCTGCACACCCACACTAGATTATCCCTATAGCTGTATACTGATTGAAGAAACCAAATCACACATGTGGAAGGATTCCATACATGAGAAGAGCCATGATAGCAGCACTGAATAACCCGGCCACCGGCACAGTCACAAACCAGGCCACAAATATGTTCCGGAAGAGGCGCCAATCCACAGCCTTCCGGGAGCGGATCCAGCCCACAGCTACCACCGAACCCACCTATAGAAGCAGAAACATCTCAAAGTAAAAATGAGGCTTACATATTTAAAGATGAGACACAGAAAAGGGGAGAGGAGAGCTTCCCTGACACCCACCTTTGGCTGTTTATGACATACCCAGTAAGTGTACAGGGAACCAGAGTCATTCCCCATTATTTTTATTTACAGATTGTTTTGTACTTTTCATAATTTATGCTATCAAAATAATCTCATTTTGGAAAATACCAAGAAAATTTCTGCTGGGCTGTATTTAAGGAGGACAGTTATTTTTATGAAACCAGTTTTCCATCCAGTCACACAGTGTACCCCATATTCCAGACTTCCTTTCTACTATAAATTATATATATAATTTTTTATTATCTTTATTTTGTGTATGAGATTTTGCCTGCATGTATGTAAGTGCATCACTTGTATGTGATGCCTGTGGAGCCCAGAAGAGGGCATTGGATCTCCTGGAACTGGAGTTATGGATGGTTGTGAGCCACTATGTGGGTGCTGGTAACCAAACCTGGGTCCTCTGCAAAAGCAGCCAGTGCTCTTAACTGCTATCTCTCCAGCCCTTAAATTCTATTTTTATTATTGTGTGTAGGCATGCACACGCAACAGAATGTGTGTGGAGATAAGGACAACTTCTGAGGATTAGTTCTTTCCTTCCACCATGATAGGCCTGGGGGCGTCAAGCTCAGGCTGTCTGGCTTGGTGGCAAGTGCCTTTCTTTGCCATCTCAACAGCCCTTTTTCTTACTAGAACTGTTGTTAAAAGAATTTTTTTTCCTCTGCAGCTCTGCAGGGGTTTGTGTGTGTGTATGCTTTCCTACCTCCACTCTAACTATTATTGACAATCAGGCTCTAGATTCTTGTATTTCCTTTTATAAAATTTTATTTATTATTTTTATTTATGTGTACGAGTGTATTGCCTGCATCCTTGTCATGCGATGCCACGTAGGTCAGAAGAGGCTTCGGATTCCCCTGGAACTGGAGTTAAGGACAGTTGGTAGCCGCCATGTGGGTGCCGGGAATCGAACCCGGGTCTTCTGCAAGAGTAGTCAGTGCTCTTAACTGCTGAGCCATCTTAACAGCCTGAGATTCTTGTATTTTTATCTTGGACTTGGGCAGTTTTGTTCTGTTAGCTCTGTGTGGTCTATTTTGCAGATAACATCCCACTTTGGTCCCATGTAAAGGATGCCAACAACTTATCCTAATACTACTTATTGTCCCAAGGAAACAAAACTGATTACATGACTAATATAGACAACTTTGATAATAATAACACACATATTTTTTTACTAAGGTCTTATGCACACTAGATATAAATCCCTTGGCAGCATGCCCTTATTATAGTAAAAATATTGGGTAAATTATATACACTTAAACATGAAAATTAAGAGTTTGGTTTTTATTCTTTTCTTTAATTATTTTAAAGTTAAAATTTAAAATCAATTTTAATTGATTCATTTTTTGAGAGAGGGTCTCACTGTGTAGCCCTGGCTGGCCTTAGAACTTACTATGTAAATCAGGCTTGCCTCAAACACACAGAGATCCACCTGGCTCTGCTAGGATTAAAGGTGTGCAACACCATACTCAACTGAAGAGTTTAGTTTTTAAATCACTATATATGTGTGCAAATAATGGGTTTCATAGTGACATTTTCATGCATGAATATATAAGGCATTTTGATGTTCACACTCACTATTACCCTCTTAACTAGCCTCCATATCCTCAATACAGTCCCCCTTTTAGGGAGCTTTGATTTTTTTAGGCAGCTGATATTTTCATCTGTGCCTTTTAATTAATCATTATTGTCAATTGTAACACCTTACATTAGTGTGGAATGGACTGCTAACAGGTTAAATAACAATCACCTAGAAAAATCAAGCAGGTAGGGGGTTTCCAATGAGTTTCAAAAGAATTTGATTTTGCTAGGCTTGCTAAAGTGTAGAGTTAATCATAAACACAAAAACAAAAATCAATATACCATTTATTTAAAAGTAGTCCTCAATTCTATTTATGACTACAAAAAAATGAAAAGTAGGAGCTGGAGAGATGGCTCAGCAGTTAAGAGCATTGACTGCTCTTGCAGAGAACCCAGGTTCAGTTCTCAGCATCTACATGGTGGCTGACAACTACCTGTAACTCCAGTTCCAGGGGATCCTATGCCCTCTTATGGCCTCTGTGGGCACATGAAGGCAAAATATATAAAATAAAATATATAAGAAAATGAAAAATGGGCCATTAAGATAGCTGAGCAGGTAAAGGTGCGTCCCTCCAAGCCTGATAATCTGAATTCAACCCCCAGAACCCACATGGTGGAAGGTGATACACACACACACACACACACACACACACACATGCACACACATTAAATTAAAAGGTGAAAAGTTAAAAGCCTTTTCCCTGGGAAATAATATATTTAGGAAGTTTCTTCAGGAGTTCCACACAGCACAGAGGGCTGAAGGGAGATGACAAATTAGGAGAAGGTCACTTTTCACTCTATATAGTTTTGTGTTGTTTGAAGTATTTCGGTGAACATGGGCTTCTTTGGTAATTTTTATTTAAAAAAATTTTTTTTGTGTGTGTGCATGTATTTCTGGGGAATGAATTCAGGGTCTCACTTGCGCCAGGCAGGTACTCCACCACTAAGCTCCAAGACCCCCTAGTAATTAAAAAATAACTAAAATTAGAACAGTCACAATCACTGAATGGCCTGGGCTACACTGCCCATGCTGGCCCTGGTTAGGAAATACTATTTAACCCTTTTATGCTTCAATTTTCACATCTTTAAGGCCCTGGGGGATGCTAGCACTCTCCTCAAAAGTTTCTTGGAAAGAAAGATTAAATATTGATAGGCACTTCCAACAGTGCCCAACAGAGATATCTGTTCCATACATCCTAGTCAGGTTGATTAGTATGGTGTTGATTACTAACTGACTATAATCAGGTTTAGAACAGGAGGTGAAGATTTGAACCCTGGTCCTATTTCATGCAAGCTGTATAATCCTTGGAATGGGGCTGAACTTTGGAAGCCTGAACCTTTTCACCTGTAACTGGGAATAACAGGATGCTATTGGTAGTGAGCAACACACTGTGTATAAAGCATTGTTACAACCAGCATATGGCAATCTCCATGTACCTGGTAAGTATAATGACTTTTATAATGAGGATTTGAGGATATAGGGGCTGGAGAGATGGCTCAGCAGTTAAGGGTACTGTCTGCTCTTGCCCAAGACCCAGGTTCAGGTCCTAGCACCCACATGGTGGCTAACAACTGTTTAAAACTCCAGTTCCAGGGGGATCCAACACCCTCTTGTGGCCTCTGTGGGTATTGCATGCATAGGTGCACTTACAGACAGCAAAATGCACACATAAAAAAAATGTATATACCATTATAAAAAAGACAGTAAGAAATAAGAAACTTCTCCAATGAGGCTGATTCTTCATGCCAAAAAGTCTCAGTGCCATCTTAAACACACTGGACCACTTAACAATCCTTTCAGAGATGCCAACTTATCTTCATATTAGAAGTACTAAGCCATGTGTGTTCTGTTGGCATTTATCTGTAAACACACTGGCTAGATTTTAAATTGTGAGTAACTGCAGATGAAGTGTCTGGTGGCTCCCTCTTCTTCCTGTGCAGAGTAGGTCCCTAGGAGTTTGGACTGAAGCAAATGGCAATTGTTTTCCTTAAGTTGGAGAGTATTTTTACTTATTGGAGGCCTGTGGGGGATATTTTAGAGTTACATCCAGAAACAATGCAGGCCTATGCTGGGGAACTGGGTTCTAGTCCTGGCTCCCCAAGCTGAGCCTGCATCACTTCCCCTGGAGACTATATCCTTTTCACTTCCTCATCACTCCAATATGATATCACTACTAGAATTCCCTCCTGTATACAGGGGAATCTAGGTTTTAGAGTACTTGGTAGTGATCAATATCAGAGATTTCCCCTCATCTAGAGTCAACTTTAAGGTAACACTGTTACTTTGAACATCACGTACAGGGAAACCTAGAAGCAGACATGTCTCATCATCCCATTGAAATGATTTTTGTTTACATTTATTTCTGTCCTACTGCTGAGGCCAGTTCCTTGCAGAGGCAGGAACTGAATGGTACGTCTCAGTTAAATCTATAGACACGGTCAGTGCACACGTATATGACTTTGACAGTAACTCCAGGTGGGAACAGTGAGGAGCACAGGGCAAATGGAAACTTTCCCACTAAGAAGGCAAAGCCTCAGCAACTAGTGCCACACTAGGGGTCAGGGAAGATGTAGGAGGGACATGTGAAGGGAGCAAACATCTTCCCTTCTTCCCCTTCACTAGCCAACAATGTCCTGGTAGACCCAGCTGACCCTGAGATGCTTTTGCCCACACCAACCACACACACAGCCTAGATACTCCCTCAAGTCTTCATGGTGCCACTCTATCAAGGGACGTCCTCGGCTGAAAGATACCCACCTTGCAGTGAGTGGTGCTGACGGGAAGTCCGATGTTGGAGGCGATCACCACGGTGAAGGCAGAGGCCAGCTCAATAGTGAAGCCACTGTGGAAGAGCACAGAAAGAAGTCACAGGTGCTCTCTATGGCCCTGTTGATAAATCCCACAGGCACCAGAAACTTGCCAGAACACTCTGAAGTGGCTATGGACTGCTGCCTGGGCCAGATGACCATTAAGAACAAGAAATTGTTGCATAAGGGCAGCAGCTCACACCAAGGCATCAGGCTGCACCACTGACGCTCATCGGCTTTGCTTTCCTGACATGTTTTCAAACCTGAAGTGCATAACTGGGTCAGAAATTCCTGCTACTCAGTAAGATAAATTACTCATTCCTAAAAGGGCCTGGGGAAAATAGTGTCTCATTCTAAAAGAATGTACGTACTACAAAAAGTGAACTTTTTCCAGATAATGAATTTTTCTTCAAATTGAGCTCAATCTTGTTTTAAAATGGATTTCAAGGAGGGGGACTGAAAATTAGTTAAAAGGAAATGGAGGAGGCTGGAGAGATGGCTCAGTAGCAAAGAACCCTGGTTGTTCTTGCAGAAGACCTGGGTTCGAATCCCAGCACCCACATGGCAGCTAACAACTGTCTGTAACTCCAGTCCCAGGGGATCCAACGGCTCCTTCTGATCTCCACAGGCATTGCACAACACGTGTATGCAGGCAATACACGCATACACATAAAATAAAAATAAATAAAATTTTAAAAAGGAAATAGAAACTCCTAACATGTTTTTTTAAAACACAGAGAGAAAAAAAAGACTTCTTACAATAGGTAGTTTCAAATTTTAGTTGTATTTTGCAAGCTCTAAGTCAGTTATTTAACCTTTGATACCTCTGAAGGGTTCACAGCAGTGACTACAGAGGAAGCCTTTAGACTGCCTAGGACAGCAGACGCACATGTCCCAGAAACCCCAGAATGATGGCACACGAGAACTGGGGACTGAATTGGGGAGGGGAAAGGCAGGCACTATGTTTTGGAGTGTCAGTGTCTCCCACATGCCAAAGGCCTGGTTCCTAGGGTGGTGCTTCTGGGAAGAAACAGACTCTCTTAAGAGGGGTATTTGGTTCACTAGGGGCATGTTCCTGAGGGATGTAGAACTCCTGTCCTTCTGTTGGTCTCTTGCTTCCTGGCTGTGCTACACAACGTGTACCTTTCCACAGGTCCAAAGGATGAGGCCAATCTATTATGGCACCCGTAAAACTAAGACACAATCAACTTATTCTCTTTATAAATTGCTTACCTCAGATATTTTGTATTGGCAACAGAAAGCTGACTAACGGAAAAGACACCAGATGGGCCCTGACCAGTTTCTCTGGAGCAGAAGAGTGGGTGTGGTTAGAGAGTTTTAGAGAAAGGCAGGCCTCAGGCTCCAGTTTGTATTTCCTATTCTTTGTACTTCTCTTTGGATATCATACTAATTAGATCAACAGTGGGGGGTAGCCTGGGGGCTAGAGCAGGCTCCTCCTGGGCTCCCCTCTGCTTTGCTTCAGTATCTCCTTTCATCTTGGTACCAGCATAGATGGTGGCAGTGGGGATTGGTGAGTTAGGGGGCTGACTGGTGGTGAGTAAGGTAGGGAGGGGTCCCTCTGCCCCTTCTCACTGTGACCACCAGCTACAGAGGAGCAATATGAGAAAGTTCTAGACACATTGACTAGACTGCTGCAGTGAGCCCCACTGCTAAGTCCTGTCACTCCAGGTCTAACCTGTGCCTCACCTGGACGGTGTGATTGGAGTGAGGTCCTTCCCCATGGTCTGGATCACTCGTCTCCCCCATACCCAGAGACCCGTGCAGATCCCAACTCCTCCATAGAACAGCAGCCAGACAGGAGTGGCTGCTTCTTGCATCACTCCACCTTGTTTATAAATCAGCCACAGAGCCACAAGGGGACCAATAGCATTGCTGAAAAAAAGATGAGTTTGTCCTCTTAGTCGTTTAAATATAATTTGGTAGTTATTACACTACTGTGAAGCAGATCTCTAGAACTTCTTATCTTGCAAATGTGAAATTCTGTATCTGTATCTGTTCAATGACCTCCTTGTGTCTCCCCCTTACCCACTGCCAACCGCTATTCTACTTTCTGCTTCTGTGACTTTAGCAACTTTATAGACAAGTGGAATCATATAGCATTTATCATATAGTATTTTCTAGTTACTAGCATATTTCACTTCAGCATGGTGTTCTCAAGGTTAATCCATGATGTAGGATGACAGGATTTCCTTTTTTATATCTGAATAATAATCCATTGTGTATTACACACACATTTTACTTAGCTATTCATCCACAGATGGGACATCTGAGGTGCTTCTGCCTTTTGGCTACTGTGGATTGTGCTTCTATGATCATGGGTATACAGGTATCTCTTTGAGGTTCTGATTTAAAATTTTAAATATGTATTCAAAAGTAGAGTTGTTGGGTCAAATAGTAGTTAATTTAAAATGCTTGAAGACTCTCCACACTGAATCAGCTTGTATTTTCACGGGAAAGCACAAGGCTTTCATTTTTTTACACTCTCACCAATACTTTTGTTTTTTTTTGGACAGTAGAGACCCTAATAGTTTGGGATTTATTCTTTTTTTAAAAAATTAGTTTTACATGTATGAGTGCATTGCTTGCATGTGTGTAAATGCACCCGTGTCATGCAATGCCAGCAGAGGGAGTTGGATCCCCTGCAACTAGAGTTACAGACAGTTGTTAGCCACTATGTGGGTGCTGGGATTCAAACCTGGTGTTCTGCGAGAGCTGCTGAGCCATCTCTCCAGCCCCTGGGATTTATTCTTCTGAAAGTACTTTAAAAAAAATATCACAAGAAGCTGGGAGTGGTGGCACATGCCTTTAATCCCAGCAGAGGCTGGTGTATCTCTGTGAGTTCAAGGCCAGATGGTCTATACAGGGAGTTTCAGGCCAACTGGGACTACAGGGAGACCCTGTCTCAAAAAGACAAAAAAAAAAAAAGAAAAAACAAAACAAAACCCCACAGGAAATGGACAGGTAACCAAGCTCTTTTCTCTTCTGTTTCTCCTCGAATGTCTTTCCATTTCCACTGCCGCTCCTGCTGCTGCTGCGATTATAGCGACCAGTGTGGACAGATCAGTCAGTCCACATGCATCACTGCTAATCACGGATTCTTTTAACTTTGGAAGCCAAGCACTGTCCCTCAGTTTCCCACGAGAATGCCAATCCCACTGTGCTGCAGAAGGAGGCTACTCAGACAAGCACACCCTTTCCCTGGACACTACTGTTCCTGCCTCCCGTCAGCCTGTACAGAATTCAGACATATGGGTTTTTGCAGTCTAACTTTAGATTCTGTTCTTGGCATAGCTGTGTAGACAGAGGGTGAGAGTCACTAGAAATTGGCTTCTAAGTCAGCTTTGCTCTAGCTATGGGTTTCTGGGCAAGCAACTTCACATTTCTGAGCTTTGGGCCCATTTTTGAAGAATGCCATTTACGTAGTTCAGAGGGTTGTTGTGAAGAGGATTATGGGTAAATAATAAATGGTTCAATACTGAGGCCTGACTTTATAACTTTTTCCCAAATGACATTATTGTCAGATTATTATTTCTAGAATCTTGGCAATTGATGAATGGACAATCACTTGCCAGTGGGGGCCACATCCTGTACAAAAGTCTTCCCTATTTGTTATTACTATTACTGCAGTGCTGGGGCTAGAACCCAGGGCCTCATCACACACGCTAGGCAAGTGCTCCAACACTGAGATACAGCCCCACCCACAGAGGTTAAATGTACAGCATTTCTTCTCAGCAATATTCCCATGATTGCTTAACTCCTATTCATCTTTCTGGCTATGGAACCTTGTATATTGTCTGATAAATGTCAGGTGTCAGAAAAATGTCTGCTGGCTGATTGACTAGACGGCAAAAAGCTTAATAGTTTTTTTATGGTCTTGAAAACATCTAATAAGTTAAACTTTTAAAAAACAGGGAAAAGAGCCGGGCGTGGTGGCGTACGCCTTTAATCCCAGCACTTGGGAGGCAGAGGCAGGGCATCTCTGTGAGCTCAAGGCCAGCCTGGTCTACATAGTGAGTTCCAGGACAGCTGGGGCTACAGGGAGACCAAAACAAAAAAACAAAAACAAAAAAACAGGGAAAAGACTTATGGGGCATGAGTGTAAACTACTGTGTGACTGCTAAAACCCATCAAGAGTCAGCTCCTGGGAATGTTCTTCTGACTTCCTGCCTTTATTTTTCTGCTGTCTCCCACAGCTCTCAATGACACTTTAGGCCTTGGATGTGGATGTGTAGCCTGCTTCTTGCCTCTCCTGCCCACTGCTTGTGACCCCAATGCCTATTTGTTGAATGCAGATATTCACCTCACATCATTGCCACCATGAGCAAAGGACCCAAAGCAGGCAGTGAGGACTTGCAGAAAGTGGAAGAGCAGATGGATCTCTGCTGTGTCCTCCTCTTCCTTCTCTTCTTCTGTGGGGTCCTCTCGAGGCTGGACAGGGTCCAACAGCTCAGAGGCTAGCTTCATTTCCACACCACCCTCCTCTGCTTCGATCTCCGCCTCAGCTACTGCATTGCAATAGCTGGAATAGCTGTCATAGCGAAGCCTCTTCTTGGAAAAGGACACAGTGTCACCCACCAGCTTCTCACTGTCCTCAGGGGCAGAGGATGTGTCTGTGGCTCTGAAGGTGGTGTGCACTGGCATACCACAGATGGCTGCGGTATAGCAGGTGTAGCTGTTGTTCCTCCGTAGCAGCCTATAGTTGTTTTCCTGTGCTGGCTTCTCCTCAGGGCCCTTGTCTACATGGATTTTGTGCAGCAAGTCTTTATAGAGGCCCGAGTCTTTGTGTACAGTGTGATACACATGACCGTCATTCCTCATGTGGCCCTCAAAGCCAAATGTACCATTGGAAATGGGCGACTTTGCAGATCCATGAGTCATGGAGAGTGCTCGTCCTGAAAAAGATTTAGAAGATGCTTATTTAGGGTTGGGGTGCGCCACTCAGTGGCACAGCACATGCTTGGCAATGAACAAAGCTCTGGGTTGGATCCCTGTCCACTAAAACATAAAATTTGGCAATACTTTTGCCCCCCTGCTTGCCCGGGGGTGGTTACCTCTTCAGGAGGGTCTCCCTATGGTATGCTTAAGCTCTCCCGATTGGCCTTACCATAGGTAGTGCGTGGGTGGTTCCCTGTGGATGTGCCCTCTGAGGCCCCCAAAGTCTCCCCAGCTGGGCCAGTGAGGGGAACAGTGCTGTCATCACTGGCCTTGGCACCCGGAAGCTCCTTAAAGACAGGGGGCTCCACCTCCTGGTCTTTACCAAGGCTTTCTTCAGACACTCGGGATAGAGCACCTTCCTTTTCTATTTTGCCTATAGGAGACAAAGGCATAAGTATACATTTTGTAAATGCACTCCTTTTATTTAAAATAAATGTTAAAAGGGAACATATCTCTTTATACTTTAGTATTTACTCTGGAAACAAAACAGTTGAGATTGAGAAAATAAATAGAAACTTTGATCAATTATCTGGAAGACTCTAGCCATAAAATTCAGCTGCTGAGTAAAAAGATGGGTAGACAGACCTCAGTTGCTGCATCTAAAAACAACAGAAAACGAGAATTAAATCTGATCACCTAAATCTCTCCCAGGGCTGATATTGTATAAATCTAAAACCTTTCTAGGGTGGCCTTCTATTTTCTTAAACTAACCTCAGAGACACTGAAATGTTTATCCTTCTTGTCTTTGAAGTATATTGTTTTTTTCTTGGTCAAAAAATTACTGGTCTCAGATATTTTTATCATCTCAAATTGTAAAAAACAAGTAAACCCTTTTCCTCAGAAAGAATGAGGAGATCCTATTTACTTAAAAAAAGTCCTTTACTTTAAAAAGAAACAAGGAAACCAGATACATGCCTTTTGTCCCGGCACTCTGGAGGCTGAGGCGGGAGGATACATGAGCCCAGAAGTTTGAGACCTACTTAGGCAGTATAGTAAAAACAACAGTAACAACAACAAATAGTCAAGAACTTTGTTTTGAAGCTGCTTTAAATTTCAGAATTATTTCTGATCATAATGGACACATGGTGCTGCTAACTTAATTATCTTTTTGATTGAGAATTCTCCTGAGCAAACTTCCAAATTCTCACCTAGGTCTGGCATGCACAACATTAATCCCCACCTGTGCTACCTGTTTCTATGCTCCCTGCTCAGTCTGATACAGAGACAGGCTATTGTGTTTCTAGTATATTCTACCAGGAAAGTATAATATACATAAAGATCTCAGATCTCAAATTTTAGTAATCTGGAGTGAAGATATTTTTAAGCATTACAAAATAATTATAATCAAAGTTAACTTTTATACAGTAGAGATGTACCTATTTTCTTTACTGTTAATGAGCAAAATGAGGCATAGAAAGATTATCAGCCTGAGGTCATGTGGGTGGCACAGAGGCAGTATTCACAAGCAGATAGTTCAGCTCTGTACCTAAAATCATAAAGAAATCTATACAGAAATATCCTGTCAGCAAACATGGGAAACAATGTGTTTCCTACCGTGATAATACAATGCAAGGCTAAAAAACAAAGACATGGGGTTGGAGAGATGGTTCAGTTCTGAAAAACTCAAGGCTAGAGGGTCAGGGAACAGGTGGATGGTTGTCTCCAGTAGGACTGGGCAGGTCTCACTGCTAGTGGTACATGGGGGATGGTAGGACTCTTCACATCCTGATTGTGGTGATACCTCAGTTAAGAGCACTAATCGCTCTTGCAGAGGACTTGAATTCAATTCCCAGCACCCACATGGCAGCTAACAATTGTTTGTAACTCCAGTTCCAGGGAATCTGACACCTTCTTCTGACCTCCACGGACATTGCATGACACATATACATGCAGGCACTGCACTCATACACATAAAATAAAAATCATCCCTAAGTAAAAAAGAAAAAGATGGGGCTGGAGAGATGGCTCAGTGGTTAAGAGCACTGACAGCTCTTGCAGAGGACCCGGGTTCGGTTCCCAGAACCCACATGGCAGCTACAAACCATCCTTAACTCCAGTTCCAGGGGAATCGAAGCTCTCTTCTGATCTCCGTGGCATTGTACGACACGGGTGCACTCACATACATGCAGCCAATACACTCATACACATAAAACAAAAATAAATAAAATATTAAAAGAAGAAAAAGATGTTAAGGTTCTGAAATGTTAAGTGTTAGTTATTAGGAAAAATGTTTAAAACTTGAGGTATTCAGATAGATTTCATCATGACCATAGAGTTAAGTCAAACAAAAAGTATGTTTCAGGATGGCTTATCTGAGGTCAGTCACCCCTGCAAAGGTAGGAGGTATTTATTCTTGGCACAGAGCAGGAAGCAGCTTCTTGGGAGAGGAAAGTCATTAGAGAGGAAAAAGATGAGGGCTTTTAACCCATTAGCAACGTGGCTTTGCTAATTAGTTTGGAGTTATATTCATTAATGTAGATTTTATTTATTTTTAAATTAGTATACAAGGTTTTAGATATTATGACATTTTAAAACAAAGTAATGTGGATTTAACAAATTCTTATTTATCTTTTAAAGATTTTTTTATATTGTGTGTCACCATGTGTCTGTGTGTGGTATGTGCATATGAGTTCAGGTGCCCTCACAGGCCTCTAGAGGCGTTAGATCCTCCTGGAGGTACAGTTATTGAAGGTTGTGAGCCACCCAGTGGGGGTTCTGGGAATCAGACTCATCAAACTCAGGTCTTCTGGAAGAGTAGTATATGCTCTTAACCACTGAACCATCTCTCCAGTTCCACAAAAATTCCATTTTTAAATCCACATACAGTAAGCTGACTTAGAGCATTATAGGATTCTAAGTTTTCTTTTTATTTATTTATTTTTTAATTTTATGTGTATGTGTGTATGTATTGACTGCATGTGTAGGTAAGTGCACCCATGTTGTGCAATGCCTGGAGGTCGGAAGAGGCTGTCGTATCCCCTGGGACTGGAGTTATGGACAGTTGTTAGTTGCCATGTGGGTGCTGGGATTTGAATCTGCGTCTTCTCCAAGAACCACCAGTGTTCTTAACCACTGAGCCATCTTTCCAGAGCCACAATCTGAATGTGAAGGGTCCTACCATCCCCCATGTACCACTGGCAGTGAGACATGCCCAGTCCTACTGAAGACAACCCTGACCTTTTGGTTTTGAATTTTTCAGAAAGTCATCTAGAGGAAATCACAAAATTGTTTGAGACTGGCTTCTTTTAGTCAGCACAATGTTCTGAGACTCACTCACAGGCTGCAACAGGGGGCACCACTTGTTTATTTATCCTATGATAATATGGGAGGGTTTTCCCACTTTGGGGTGACAGTGATAAAAATGCTATGAACACCTATGGACATATTTTTGTGCGAATTTAAATATTAATTTCTTTGGGAAAATACATAGGTGTGGTTAAAAGAATGTTTACGGTCAGTGCATATTTGATGTTGTACGAAACTGCCACGCTGTCTTCCTGTACCAGTGTGCCGTCTCACTGTCAGTGCTTCAAAGTTCTGGATGTCCTTCACTCTTGTTGCAGTTAGCATGGTGTTAAAAACCCACTCAAATAGATGTGAAGTGATGCCTCATGGTTCATTTCGCATTTCCCTGATTGCCAGTGACACTGAACCTTGCATGGGCTTATTTGCCAATCGGATTTCTACTCTAGTGAAGTATATGGTTTTGCTGGTTTGTTTTCTGAAAGTTTCTTTAGTTTCAGGACATTAAGTTTCCCTTTAATGGTGGTTTCAGAGAGCAACAGTGCTCAATTTTTGTGGCATAAAATTTATCAATTTCTTCTGTGGATCATGTTGGTGTCTTATCTAAAGCTCTTTGCTTAACCAAGCCCACAAATGCTTTCTTTGGTGGTTTGAATGAGAAATGTCCTCAAGTATTTGAACATTTGGTGTATAGTCTCCAATTGGTGGTGCTGTTTTGGGGAGGGTTGTGGCCTTGCTGGAGGAAGCACTTCCAGCTTGCCCTCTCTGCTTCCTGTGCATGCTTACAGATGTGAGTGTTCAGCTTTCTGCTCTGGCTGCCTCCTGCCAAGCCCCCTCACCATGATGGACTCTTATCCCTCTGGAACTGTAAGCCTGTTCTAGAAGGATCCTGGAAGAAAGTAGTGTGGAGAGCAATATAGTTCCAGAGGGAAGCAAGGATGTACATAGCAACTGGGCTAGAGATTATTCCTGTGATATTTTGGTAAAGAATTTGATTGGCTTCTGCCTGAGGCCTAAGAACTTGCCTGATGTTGAATGAAAAAGTAATGGACTAATTACTAATTCCTCCTTGGTGGAGGAAATTTCAAGACAGCATAATGTTGAGTCTGTGGCATGGGTATCACTGATAACTTTATGTAGGTATACAAGGAAAAATAGGAAATGGAGCAGAAATACAAAATGTATACTTTAGAGAGAAAGAAAGCACTAGGAAGCTGAATGTAGCCAAGGCATATCCTGGAAGAGAGGCTGTAATTGATGAGGAGATTATGCCATTAAAGAGAGGCTTCCTGCTCCTCAACCTTCAAACTTGTGTAAGGAGAAGCCTAAGGGGTTTTCTGCTCCTAGAAAACAACATGTAAAAGCAGCTGCAAATGTGATCCAAGGGGGCCAAAGTCCATCATAAGCTGGCAGCTGAACTCCACAGTGTTATTCACACCATACTGGCTTTAGAGGCACGAAAGATGCAGGAGTGTGTGTGTGTGTGTATGTACCGATTATTTCTCCATGGTTCTGGAGAGGCATTAAGGCCAGGTAGTACATGCAGGGGAATCCTTGTGTAAAGAAGGACCTGTGAAGCCAAGAGGCCCTGAGAGGCCACTGTATGCAGTTGTGAAGGTCAAGGCTTGTTTGCAGTGGAGATCCCAAGATGTTGGATATGCCAGAGATGGGACATATATGCCAAGGAAAGCTGCATGCAGGAGTGGAACCAGCCTGTGGTGGTTTGAGTGAGAATGTCCCCCAGAGTAGGTGCCAAGTATTTGGACATTTCATCTCCAGTTGTTGGTGCTGTGTTGGGAGGTCTTGGAAGTTGTGGGTATGCTGGAAGAAGCTCGTTACTCGGGGTGGGCTTAAGAGAGTTCTTAAGCCTTGCTGGATCTCCAGTTGCTCTCTGCTTCCTGTGCCTGCTTGAAGATGTGAGCCTCTGCTCCTGCTCCAGTCACCTCATCACCACCTCGTCACCTCTTGCCACCATACCTCGCCACTGTGATGGATCCTAATTCCCCTGGAACTGTAGCTCAAATAAACTTCCTTTTATAAGTTCCCTTAGTCATAGTGTTTTATTACAGTAACAGAAAAGTAACTAATACACAGCCCAAGACAGATGTATGTTACAGGCAGCAAAGCTGAGCCATTTAAGCCCTTCAGAACTAAAGTCACAGACACTGGACATGGAGGTTGAGGATTTGGTGTTTGCCCTGCTGGGTTCTGGTTTGGGGGTTACAGTTAAAGGACTTCCATGAGTCTTGGAAGAGGCTTGACTTTTCAACAGTGTTAAAGAGTATGGGGAACTTTTGAAGGTGAACTAAATACATTTTATATTTTGATACTGCTATGAGCCTATGGGGTTGAGGGAACAGAATGTGATGGTTTGAATGAGAAATGTTCCCTATATGCTCAAGTATTTGAACACTTGGTATATGGTTTCCAGTTGCTGATATTGTTTGGGGAAGGTCATCAAACCTTTAGGAGGTATGGCCTTGTTGGAGCAAGCATGTCACTCACTGGGGATGGGCTTTGGAATGGGCCTCATCCCACTTCCAGATTATTCTCTCTGCTTTCTGCAAGTGACTGAAGATCTGTGCACTTAGCCTTTTGCTCTGGCAGCCTTTGCCACCATGCCTCCCTGCCATGATAGACTCTTTTGTTTTTTTGAGAAAGGGTCTCACTGGGTAGCACTGGCTAGCCTAGAACTCACTATGTAGACCAGGCTAGCCTCAAACTGACAGAGGTTCATCTGCCTGTTTCTCTCTCCCAAGTGCTAGGACTAAAGGCACGTACCTGCACACCCAGCCATGGACTCTTATCCCTCTGGAACTATAAGCTAAATAAACTCTCATTCTGTAAGTTGCCTTGATCATGGAGTTTTAACGTAGCAACAGAAAAGTAACTAATACACTCTTTTTCCCTTCAAAAAGTCTTTTAAATACTTTACATTTAGATTTGTGATATATTTTGAGTTAACTTCTTTATAAGGTATAAAGTTTATGGCAAATATTTTTTTAAAAGTATGGAAAACAGTGTGGAGAACTCTTAAAAAACTAAAAATGAACCTATGATATGACCTGGTTATAACACTCCTTGGCATATACCCAAAGGACACATCTTATTGTGGAGACACTTGTACAATCATGTTTGTTGCTACTCTTTTCACAATAGCTAAGAGATGGAAGCAACCTAAGTGCCCCTCAACTGACGAGTGGTTAGCAAAAATGTGGTATATTTATACAATGGAATTCTAATCAGCAGTAAAGAAAGATGAAATAATGAAATTTGCAGGTAAATGAATGGATCTAGAAACTGTTATACTAAGTGAAGTAACACAGACTCAGAAAAACAAATGACATATGTTCTCCCTCATATGTGGCTCCTAGCACCAAATCCTTTGAAATTCGGGGTCCTTTTAATAAGATGATGCTACACACAGCAGTCCCTTCTGCATGAAATAACTACCATCATCACGACTTCAGCTGAGCCTGATTGCTAAACATCCTCACAATTGGGCTTGTTGACAGTTGTGCTCATTCATTAAAGGAGGGCCAAGCAGGGTCACTGGACCCTCACCTGAATATCCAGCCACTCTTCCCAGCCAACTAGTCCAGCCTTGGAAGACAAAAGAAAATGAGGAGGAACCCAATAGAGGGATGCTTTTGGAAGCCCTTGTCAAGAAATTCCAATGGACTCTCATATGAACATTTGAAAATTGCCCTGTTCTGACTTTTTTCTAGAACTTGTAATGCTAATTACTCTTGCCTTTACTTCTCCTTCACATCTCCTATTCATGATTCAAAGACTTTCTTTTTCTCAAGATAAAAGTTATTCAGTTTGGGAGTCTTTTAGATAGACCCACTGAAGGGGTACTCCAATTGCCTCACCCTGTGTCCCTGTTCAGCATGGGAGAAGCCAGAGCGGTCTGCATCCCTAGTCCCTATTGGCAATTTGGGTAACCCCTTCAGAGGATGGTGTGATAAGAATATGAGGTAGAAATTGGCTAGGCAGTTAGGGTAAAAAGACCCCAAAGGAATGTAGCCAATTTCTGGGCTAAAATTCAAAATTTCTTTGGGCCTGTTAGCAACATACTCTGTTCCAAAGGCCAAAAATGTCGAAAATATTTGGGAGCTTTTATCTAATGCTTGAAAGATTTTAGCATTACCTCTTCAGAGGGGAGAATGTTAGAGTAGCCAAAAGCCCCATAAAAAAAAATAAATAAATCAA